CCCCCCCCCCCGCCGAGCGTAAGTTCTTCCTCGAGCACACGAAACTCTCGATTTTCTTACGAGATTCGATCGTGTCCGCTGCGCGAATCTGCACCGATCGAAATGAATCAGTCTCCGCTTCCGTCCGAAAATCTTTTCGACTATGACCGTGAGTTTACCCAAGCGAAACAAAAAGTCAAGATGATATCAAGATGACGTGAGAAAGTAATCATTTATAGAAAATCAAAGTGATGTAATTTAAAACCTTAAATAGATTTTTAAATAGATTTCTTTGAAGGTTTCAATATTCATTGCCAGTTTTGAAAATCTTCAGTTCATGTTACTGTGAATTTTTAGTACTGGCAGTGTAGTCAATATATCGAACAGTTTATTTGGAAAGAATTAAATCTGTAAATTCCAAAGTGTCATAATCTCATCAATTTTCTGTATTTGGAAGTCATTTTATCGTCATTTATTGTTATTGTGACTTTTCGTTCTGCCTAGAATACTCCGCATCGCGTTCTCAAGACTCCCGAAAAGAAACTCGGCTGCGCTCGATAACGAAATCCTGCGAAAACAGAAGAGGTGGGTTTAGAAATAGCACTGACATGCACGCGAAACTCTTCCTCTCGGCTCTGAAACGCTGAAGACTCCGTCGCGAAAGGGGGTCGTCGTCGTTCTAATTAGCGACTCGGCAAGATCGCATTTCTGTATCGAGATCGTCACCACTCATTCGCTCTCTATAAACCATAATAGCTAACCAAACTCTCTCTCTCTCTCTCTCTCATTTAACTTAAATTTGTACTTCAACTGCTTATCGTCTCTCGCACGTCTCGCGCAGAGGAGAATCCACGTCCGACATGATGGGTGCTTTCCATTTAGTGACACAAGTCGACACAAGCATCATCGCCTCTCTTTGTTACTCATTGAATATGGAACGAAGACAGGATGATGCTTGTGTCGACTTGTGTCACCAAATGAATGGAGCACTCGATGTCGCCTGTGCGTCGAGGGCGCGCGGGAATTTCAAGGCCCAAGCCTGGAGATCCTTTAGAAATTAACGCCTACATATATTAATGATCAATTCTTGCGTGTGTGAACTCATTCTCACGGTTGCCTCGGCAGACCGCTGATACCGCGAGATCCGTGGCGGACACCGCGGATCTCTTCGGATCTTCGGGCAAACCGAGCGTGGCTCTCGACGCCTTTCATCGCGGGGAATCAAAGTGGCGCGCGCACAGCGCGTGGACTCGCGGATATTCTAGAATATAATCGAGCACAACAAGAGCAACCGGACAGCGCTGCGCTGCTTGGCTATCGGGCATGATGACCGGTAGACGTCAGAATTCATTTGGAAGGGTCAATAAACGCGGCACGAGCTGTCGGCCGTGCGTGAAAACCGCGACGTCGCGCGCACGCGTCCGTGACGTCGCGAATACGAAGCGTAGGGCTGCAAGAAGACCCCGTGAATCGTCGCTCTACTTGCTCTTCAACGTCAGGACCATACAAAAATGTGACAATCACGATCGTATCGTTTTTTACACGTGTACACGAGTATCAATATATATATCGCATGGTATATGTTCCTCCCGTTATATGTTTCGTCGCCGAATTCGCTACGTGCGGTCTCTTATTCTTCATTCTCTCTCTCTCCCTCTCTCTCTCTCTTATCGATAATCTAAAATTCGCTCTATCGAGATTAACGTTGACGGTACTTTTATATATGTATATGTATTTTATATATATTTATATATAATCGTGGTCTGTCTTTCTCACGCGTAAATCACTGCGTCTTTAACTGTGAGCTTGATAAAAAGCTAGGCCGCTTTTAGGCGTTCAGGCTACCGAATGTAATATTAATTCTTCTCTCTTTGTATCTCACAAGCTGTAAGTAGTATAATAATTCCCATTTCTCGTATGTAGTGTGTGTGTTGTCGATATCACATTATAACTATTATCTCTATGCCCTTAATAAAACGTATTCTTTACAAACACGTACACTTTACATAACACGAGCCCTGTGACTTGAATTAAAAATCCGCCCGTTCTGCGTCTATGTATATTCCCTACTTCTCTCTTCCCGTTTATCTCCCTCATTCGTTCTTTTCTTCTTTCGTGCTCCCTCTCTCTCTTTCTTTTACACGCGTACACAATCACACACACACACGTACACGCGCGACATACGCACATCACGCACACCCGCGTGAATCCTCGTTCACCCTCTTACCCGTTTACCTTCATACGTGCACATTAACAATCATATTAATAATTTACTATCCTCTAACGATATCTTAGTAGAACGTCGTAGTGCGATGTCGAAAACTCGGAAAGGATTTAGCGAAAAAATAGTAGCCGCTCGGAGAGTATCAAGCTGATAGGATATCACGGAGAGTGCAACATCTAAGCGACTTCGTTTCTCCGTTTCATCCCGCTTCTTGAAGGCATGCCGTCGTTATTTGTAACACACGCACACGTGCCCGGCGGCACGGTTTCCGCAATTTCTGCTCGTTTCCGCGCGTGTTTCTCGATACTTTCCTCAGACGGAGGAAATATATCGTACGAGGATCCGATCGAGCGCGTAAGGTGCGTCGGCGAGCGACGCGAGAGAGTCTTCATTTGGTCGATCCTCGCACGACGCATCAATCCGAGTACGCGATTTTTTTGCAATATAGTTTTCTCTATGCACTTAGGAAGGTCTGCTTTCGCATGTCGCTTACAGATTAGTTTTTTTACGGTATAGTATTAGTAGTAATATATATAGTAGTAGTAGTAGCAATAGTAGTATAGTGGTAGTACTAGTAGTAACAGTAGTAGTAATAGTAGTAGCAGTAGTAGTAATTGTAGTAGAGTCGTAACAGTAATTGTATTTGAAAGGTAACACGCTCGGAACCGGATGCAGGTGTCTGCGCGAACGAGAGAGGGAGAGAGAGAGAGAGAGAGAGAGAGAAAGAATGACGCTTTCTCTCGCTTCATTCGTCGGGACGAATTCGCCTCGCATTGACCGGCACTGAGTGAGACTCGCTTTTAGGTCGGCGTGACGACTGAATCGAAGCACTTCATAAAGCGACGTTTTAAAGCAGCGGAAATATGGTCGGTCGTAAGAACACGCTTACTTCCGAATCGAACGATGTCTCTAAATGCACAATTAACGGGTAATTAATTGTACCTTCCCGGTCCCGCTGTAAATTAACGCTACGCGTTACGATGAACGTATTCCCCTTGATTTTGCTCGAGAACCTTACTCGAGCTTGCAAACGTGATAATGATTTACCGCAACGAAAGGAAAAACGAGTTGATTCTCAGTGCCGGTCGACATCTCGAATGGTTTGATCACCGTTATCGCCTCCTTCCATCGGCAGATCTCTCTTATTCGCGTATCAACAGCGGCATCGGGTTCCGCGCGAAACTCTCTGCAAAACTGGTGCGATGGTCAGCCGTTTTGTTCGAGATGTGATTATCGGTGTCTGTGGATCGCGTCGTTCGATCGAACGACGCTCGCTACGGAGACTCTCGGCGGCGTCTGAAACAATTTTACGAGCGTGGAATTCCTTCGGAACGAGCAAACAGAACAGTTTTCACTTCGACACTTGTGTGTGCATCGTATAATTTGCGGGGGAGAAACGATGACCGCGGGAAGAACGAAATGCGGCGAGAAACGAGACGATTTCCCGGACGAGCAACTTCCCGCTTCGACGACACCGTTTTGATTCTCTCTACAGTTTTATGCTCTACAGTGTTACCGTGTTTTTTCCTCTTCTTTTTTTACCTTTACGCCAAAGTAACGGAGGAGAGAGACGCGCAAGCGTGACGCGTACGCGCGCGTACGTACGCGGCCGCTCGAGCAGACACCTTCTGCTCACTCGTCGAAACGAAACGCCGGACAGCACACCGCTGGGTCGGGTTGTATTCCGTGACAGCGCGACATAATGAGAAATTATAATAACGCTATCCTACAATTAGTAGAGGCGAAGAGAGTCCTGCTTTAGAGAAAAATCGGCGAGCGGTCAGGCCACCTCATCTAGGGGGGGGTAACGTTATATATATATATATATATATATATCATTTTCGGACGTGAGCGTGCCAAGGAGTCAAACAAGAGGGTCCTACGGGAGCGTTTTGTACAAACATCGCGGTGACTCTGCATTTGAAAAAATCCGACAGTTCGGCATCGCCGTCGCTCGAGGGTTTGGCGCTGCTTATTGCTAATAACGTGGCTGCGGCTACGCCCGAGGGAGACGCTGCGCTCCGACGAAGGCGCTCCTCGCAAGTGGAAAGTCGTTGCGCCTGAACACCTCGCTCTGTTCAAACCGTCGCTTGGGTAAGTCCGAAATCTTTTGGATCAACGACGAATTCATAATGAGTAGCCGGTAGCGAGTAGCGACGCGACTCGTATCGATCCGCTTCGCGCGCTGAGCCGCTCGCTCGCCCGGTAACACGGAGAATCCAGCGGACGAAAAAGAAGAAGGAGGAGTAGAAGACGCTCGAAGGGGGGGAGGTGAGACACGAACTTTGCCGGGTGACTCCCCTGCGGAATTATACGAAGTTACTCGTTTGGTCCTTGGCACGATCGGCTAACGCGCTCGCCGCGCCTAAATAGAGTGTAGCGCACTCGAGCGCTCGAGGAGTGCCGCGCTCGACTGATTATCCTTATGTAACAAGACGAGTATTTCATTTCAGGTATTTCAAGATTTATACAATATGTACACCTCGACTAGAACAAGACACCTCGTATTATGCGCGATACGTAAACTGCTCTGTGACTCGATGACATCGGTGGATCAGTGTGCCGGTGACGGTGGTGGTGGTGGTGATGATGATAATGATGGTGGTGGTGATGATGGCGGAGGTGGTGGTGCTATTGCCGTTCGACCGTTCGAATTTCCTTCGCACGTGAGCGCGCGCACGCTTCGGCGCTCGCTCGCGCTCGAGAAGGAAAATTGTGTGTGTGTGTGTGTGTGTATGTGTGCGTGTGTAAGACTGGCACGGTTTTTCCTTTCCTCGACTCGAAGCCGCGGGACGACCGCGGGGGAAGAGTTTCTCTCTCGTCGGCCGGAACCTGTCGACGACGATGATAATGACGAGACCCGTAAACCTGTGTATATGTGTGTGTGTGTGTGTGTATACGTCCATCCGCAGACGTGTTTCCCCCGTCCCCGGCGATATACCGCCGGAGGGGAATGCTTCCTTCCGCTTAGCCCGCCTGCCACGGCTGTTGTCTTGGCGGTCCTACACAGGGCAGATCAACAGCTGGTACTCGAACATCAGCGAGACGGCGACGAAGACGAAGTAGAGGATGAACATCGTGAAGCCGAGACCCCTGTTCATTTGCCACTTAAAGCAGGCGATGCTCATGATCACGAACAGCAGCATGCAGAACAGTATCGCTATACTGCACACCATGCCTACCGAGTTCACCTCCACGGGTTTCCCGTAGATCAAGCCGTACAGGAGCCATGGAACCGGAAGCCTGCGGGCAGAACCAGAAACGCAAATCGAGTCGAACGCCTGGCTGATTTGCCGTTGCAAATTGTATCATCCATAACATGGTAAGAATAGACCGAGCGTGAGGCGCGAGAACTGAAGACAAGGTAGAAAGAGACGGGCAGTATAGGTGCCGTGTAGCTTTCTCTTTCTAGTGAGGGAAGAGTGGGTGTAAGAAAGAGGGATGTAAGAAAGAGTAGGGAGATAGCCAAGAGCACCTTTTCTGGTACATGAGCGATCGAACGCTCATCTGTCGTCCCCGTTCTTTTTTACACCCTTCTTTCTTACATCCCACTTTTTCCTCGTTAGAGAGAGAGGAAGCTACGCGGCACCTATATTGTCCGTTTCTTTCTATCTGATCTTTACTGTTTACTTAGAGAACACGCTCGGTCTATTCTTGTTATGTCTATGGTATCATCGCTCCTTCCTGCCGTACACTGATTGTGAGAAAAAAAAAAGATATCTAAAAACAAACGAATATTTCTTCGGTGGAGTCCTTACACGATATTTATTTAAATCTAAATTCTCTTTGTTTAAACCGAGTGATGTTTACTCGGTTTAAGCAAATAATACTCGATTTAAATAAAGTGAATTTAGATTGAAGTAAATATCGTAAGAACCCACCGGAGAAATATTCGTTTGTTTTTTCTTTCAGTGTACTCTAATTTTTAAGTGTGACGTACTCCTTTTAGTAGGCCCGAGAACGATTGCCGCTGTAGGAGCGAGAAATTCGGGACAGCTGCAGCAACGTAATGAATCACGGAAATAATATTATAGTAGAGATTATCACAAAATTTTGTAATACTGGACCATACCGGAATTATAACTGAAGTTATAATGTGTATTGTAATCTCCATTGATATTTGACATTGAATTTCATTCATATTTACGTATCATTAAAGATTGCAGTGCATATAATAATAATTTCAGTCATAATTATTCCGGTATGGGTCAGCATTACAAAATTTTGCGGCAATTTTTACTATAATGTTTTCTCCGTGTGGAATTAATCATGACGTAAGAAGAAGATATTCGCATTTTTTTAATTTTTATGGCAAATATTGCATTAATTCTACTATTCTGTCACCATTATGCATATACACTTTATCTTTTTATATCATGGAATTAGCATTCAAGACCGCGTCGGCGCTTTATTACCATTCGGTATCGAGAGCTCTTTGATTAAATGTATATTTGAGAGAGGTCGCTCGTATTGAATTCTTTCTCCGGCTTGTTCCTTAATTTAGGACACTTGACATTGAATTCTTTCGTATCATCCTAAAAGCATCTAAAAGCCGTCCTTGTTCTTTCGTATAGCGCAGTAATGTCGCGTCTCATTCGAAATTATACCACACTCCGATCATCGACTCTAATGACGTGGAAACTCGCGTACCCGTTATTTCCTCATACGACATACGGCGAAACATGACACATGCTCTTGACACAAAATCTCTTCAGTGTGTGTTTATTTGTGTGTGCGCGCCCGCATTTGCATCTATATTATAGACTCCATTAGAATCTCATGGCTTTATGATTACGAGCGCGACGGGAACAACTATTGCATCGATCGGCTACAAACATAGATGTGTACTATTCTACCCACACACACACACATACACACACACAC